ATCTTAGTTCTTCAATTCGATACTAGATGGCGCTGTTGGTTGAAAGATTAGTCATGTCATTTTCTGGAAAGCTCTCCTCGCTCTGTTACCCGACACTAGATGGCGCTAGTGCCAGATGTCAAATTAGGCGCGCAGCAATACTATATACATGATAATATATTCAATAATTGTTTACTTATCGTATGGGATAACTTACCGAAAATAATATAAATAATAAAAAATAAAATAATAAATGTATATTTATAACCTCATTAGTTCAATTATGGAGAAATTAAAATCCGTACTGACGAAACGATATACAAATATTCGAAAGCTAAGGTGTTGTAATACGTTAGTCTTTCGCCTTAGCTACGCATCTGTTGCAAACAAATTCCTTCCTGTATTCACCGAACACGCAACAACATTATCGTAAAAATATACTAACTGACAAAGCGGAAGAGCTGGTTGAGTTTATAATGCGCGATATTTGTAGGTCAGTGTACACGCGTTGCATTTTTGAATAAAAACACTCCATACTCTTTTTGCAGTAGCTAAGTCCGTCCGTACACGGACGATAGGATTTACGTGAAGCGTGTGAGGATGAAAGATCTTTTAACTCATAATCTTGTATGAATAACATAAGTACCGTGAAGTTTCGACGATGGACGAAATTAGAATTTGAGCTGAGTTACTACATATAGCCCCTGAATTTACTTATCGATTCTAATTTTAACTTTATATGTCTACCTTTATTCATATTGTGTAGGTACATAGTCACAAAATATGTAATAATTAAATATACGAATACGAGTAGACTCCCGGTAATCCGGCTCCTGCCTAATCCGCACCCCCTTGTAATCTGACATGCCTTTGACGTGTAGGTACAATTAAGTTGTGTTATGAATTCGCCACGGGGGAGGTGTGCTTCGCGAATACGTTGACAAACGGGTTGCAATTAGTTCGCGCAATTGTCTCAGTTTAAATGTGATCATAGATAATATGCAATGTAACTGTGTTTGCAGCCTAGCGGGCCTATTCATTATTTACTTTTTACTGATTTACTGTAACTTGCTACCACAGAACACTATTACTCCTACCGGAAGTTGCTACATATCTAATTATCTACAATGATTATTACATTATTACATGACTTTTTTATTTTTTATACTTGATTTGTAATTTGTCGGATTACAAGGTAATCCGGCACCGCCTTGCAAAACGTTTGTCACATTACCGGGGATCAGCTATATTTATATATATATATATATATATATATATATCGACTTCCTGCATGTCTTACCAGGTCGTCACTCCATCTAGTGGGGGGGTCACCCTACACTACGCCTACAGGTACGAGGCTGCCACTCGAGAACCTTTCTTCCCCATCTGTTATCAGTTCTTCGAGCTATATGGCCGGCCCATTCACCACTTACTCTTTTCCCTCCCTTTCTACACTTTAGTGTTCAGAGATTGAGTATCAGATATACCTGACGAGGAGATGTGTCGTAATTTCCCGAATGCTGCCCAGCCGAGTTGAATCTGTCGATTGACCTCTCGGTCGAAGTTGGACTTACCTAGTCGGACTGTTTGTCCCAGGTAAACGTACTCGTCAACAACTTCGAGCATAGTGCTCCCAACAAATACCGGCATAGGTATGTATAGTGTGTGTAGGTATCCGTTGGGAGACACCATTGAGGTCATTGAGCATAGTGCTAAGGTCCTCCAGCGATTCTGCCATAAGGACTATATCGTCGGCAAATTGAAGGTGAGTGATGTACTCGCCATAGATGTTAATACCGTATCCTTTCCAGTCCAGTAGCTTGAAAACGTCTTCCAATGCAGCGGTGAAGAGTTTCGGGGATATAACGTCACCCTGTCTTACACCTCTCTGCAGTTGGATAGGTTTCGAACTCTGGTTCTGTACTCGGATAGCCATCGTAGCCTTACTGTACAAATACTTCAGCACTTCGATATACCGACAGTCAACTTGGCACCGCTGAAGAGACTGTAGCACCGCCCAAACTTCAACGGAATCAAAGGCTTTCTCATAGTCCTCATACGCAGCAAAGTGGCAGATTGGTACTCTTCGGTCTTCTGTACAATCTGCCGCAGGGTATGTATGTGGTCTATGGTACTGAAGCCTTTTCGGAAACCAGCTTGTTCGGGAGGCTGGAAGTCGTCGAGTCTGCGTGCGAGACAATTCGTAATGACTCTCGCAAACAGCACGTAGACGCGGCTCAGAAGGGAAATCGGTCTGTAGTTCTTCAAGAGAGTGTTGTCGCCTTTTTTAAAGACCAAGACCACCGCACTTCTGCTCCCCGCCTCCGGAGTAGTGCCACCATGGAGGACAGAATTGAAGAGCTTCTGATGGACTTCAAGTACCGGTGTTCCACCCGCTTTCAGAAGCTCCGCTGTAATTCCATCCTCACCTGGGCCCCTGCCGTTTTTAAGGTGCTGGAGAGCCATTCTAATCTCGCTCAGACTGACGTCCGGAATATCATCGGAATAGTGTGGGATAAGACTTGCTCTTGGATCGTTACTCACACTTGCGTGTGGCTCCAACGATGATGTGTACAGGTGCCCATAGAACCTCTCAATCTCACTCAGAATCTCAGGTGTCCCGGAAACGATGTTACCACACTCAGTCTTCAGCTTTGACAGTTAGCTCTTTCTGGCAGACAGATCTCTGGCAAAGATTTTGGAGCCATTTCCGCTCTATCGCTTCTTTAATACGAGCAGTATTAAAGTTGCGTAAGTCTCGCCGCATGCATTTGGAGATCTCAGTCTGTTCAGTTGCCTGTATGCTGTCAAATCTGTTGACGATTGCAGCCTCATCTCCCGTCTAACAGCCATGAGATTAAGAGTGTGATCGGAGAGTTTTCGTGTTCTTCTGCGGCGGGTCTTGCAGAACTTAGCTCCGATCGCATGGACAGTTTCCACGAGCTTGTCATTCATATCGTCCACTGCATTGCAATCTTCTAGACACTGAAAGCGGTTACGTAACTCGAGCTGAAAGGTTTCGGGATTCTGGATTAGAGCACGAGGGGGACGGAGCGTTGACTTCATTAGACGAGACCTCTCCAACTTAACGTTTAGGTTCAGTGTGCCTCTAACCATTCGATGATCACTGCCAGTTTTCACCCTTGCGATCACTGAGACATTACTGAACAGTTGGCATCTGGTCGTCATAATGAAGTCCATCTCATTTTTTGTCGAACCGTCGGGGCTCGACCAGGTCCACTTCCTGTGGGGCCGCTTCTGGAAGAAAGATTTAATCATAAAGAGTTCCTCTTTCTCCATAAAGTCGGCCAGCTGCTGGTCCCTAAGGTTCCGTTGCCCTACTTTAAATTTCCCTAACTTCAACTCACTGCTTTCTCTTGTGCCTAGTTTTGCGTTGAAGTCTCCCATCAACACCGTGTAGTGGGTTTTGGAGGAATGCATGGCTCTAGAAATATCCTCATACATTTCCTCCACCTCCTCATCGGGATGCGCCGAGGTTGGCGCGAATACCATTTGGTGATTCTGAGTATCAGGTACGCTACTCTCGTCGAGGCACTCCCAATCTTTACAACGTTGTTGACGAAAGACTTGTGGATGATAAATCCGTCACCTCCTTGGGATAGACGGTCGCCCTCCCGGTGATAGATCAAGTTGCCGGACTCGAGGATTACCGTGTCCTCCCCCTCTCTTCGGACCTCGGATAACCCAATAATATGCCAGTGCAACTTGTCTACCTCTTCTTCCAGCTCCAGTATCTTTCGTCGGTCCTCAGGGTGCGTGCGTTATATGTTGCCAGGTTGAGTCGTCGTAGATGGCAACCGAACCTCCACCGGAGATTCTTAGCACCCCCTGCCCCGCCGTTACCATGGTCGCCACCGTAGCCAGGAATAGCCGGGCCGCCGGGGACTGGGGGCCGTTTGTTTGCGTCGTTATTCATGGGGATATATATATATATATATATATATATATATATATATATATATATATATATATATATATATATATATATATTCGTATATTCTGTGATCGAAAACATTTTATCAAAATAATTTGTTAAATGATTATGTGTGCCATCTAACTACAAGTGTAAAAACAAGTAAATAAAGAGTATTAGTGTTAGATTAAAAACTTCATCTATTATTCGAATAGATGGCGCTATATTAGCATTTCATTTTGAAAATTTCCGAGGTACCTACCTACTGACTAACATGTCATGTAAATTATTAATAGTAAATTAATGAATTTATTATTATAAATGTTTTTTAGGGAATACAGTCTACTTTAGCTAGCCTTCTCCAATTCCAGCTCTGACATCTATGTATACAAGAGTGAATTCCAGTATTATGTTTATGTTATGTTTATTTTATCTACGTCATAGAACATTTACATTTTATAATTATAAATGTTTTTTATGGAATACAGTCTACTTTACTTTATAATAAAGGAATATTGAAAAAGAATTTAGAGCTAGCCTTCTCCAATCCAACTGACCTCTATAAAAGTGAATTCCAGTATTATGTTTATTTTATGTTTATTTTATCTACGTCATAGAACATTTACAATTTATAATTATAAATGTGTTTTATGGAATACAGTCTACTTTACTTTATAATAAAGGAATATTGTAAAATAGATATTTTAGAGCTAGCCTTCTCCAATTCCAGCACTGACCTCTATGTATACAAGAGTGAATTCCAGTATTATGTTTATTTTATCTACGTCATAGAACACTATAATTATACCTATAATTTAATACCCATATAATACCGTAGACAGAGAAATGTCTACGTATAATACCCATAGCACAGAGTACCTTTATATCGTAGATATAAACTGAAACGACTGACCCACCATAGATTACTGACTAATGCATCTATGAAAAATTATATTATAGCCATTAGCCAAAAAACCAAAAATGTCTTCGGGGGTGAACACAGATGAACACAGACTAGATTGGACTAGATAGAGAAAAAACCAAAACTATTTGAAGTGCATTGCAAATTAAGTCTAAAAATTTTGCAATGTTTCGATCTGTTAATGTTAAAGGCCGTGGAAGTTATGCGCAAACTAAATTAAAGGAATTTATTCGGACAAAAGTAATTAAACCCAGTTCTATCTTGAATCCTGCGGAAAAATTAAAATTGTATCACAAGGAGAACAAGGGATTATTTGGACCATTGTTGGATAAGAAGATACCAAATAAATCGCGTACATCTAAAACTGGCTAGTATTTTGCATTATAAATTTTTCAACCTTGGAAATGTAAACTAACCACAATTCTCTTTTCTATAAAAGTAGTTCCTCAGTTTCTCGTCTCGTTTCTCTTTTTCTAGTTCCTATCTTTTTAACACATTCACAATTTAAGTTATTATTAGGTATACTCTGAGGTATACGTTCTACGTGCTTAGTACGTAATATACTTATCGATGGGTATATGTGTTTTTTGTTTTGTCATTTATTTCTGACTCGGTGATTGCTTGCAGATCGGGTGTGTATCTTTTGAAATAAAATGTTGTTGATCATTCTCTGCCAAGTGCTAATTAATATAAATCATATGACTACACTGGCGCCTCGTGGGAGACGCAATCGACGCTCGTGTATTAGACATTATTTGTGATATATTTTATCTGTTTGTTACAGTTAAAAATAGCAAGACATCGCATCAAAACAACGAAACGACAGTATCTAGTGGAAATACGCAGAAATTCAGTGCTTCAGGAAATGTGCTCCAGAGGCTGTGTCATTTAACTCCCGTAGTCATTTTAAAAATAAGGATGTGGCAGAAGTCAAAGGCTTGTTTTAACTATGCTGCAGTATTACTAAACAATAATACTGTTAGGGGAATTAAAACAATTGCTGTGAGTAATTCTGCAAGAAGCTCCCCTGCAGAACCAGGTTATGCAAGTGAAGACAAGATCCTGCAGATCAAACCACACCAAAATGATTTTGCCAAACAATATCCATCAGTCACATTAATCTTGAACAAGACCATGACTGATGAATCACGAGCAGCCCTAGAAAAATGGAAACAGGAAAGAATTGCAGAAATGGGTTTAGAAGAATTTAACAGATTTTATGAAGGTAAGTGCTTAATTATAAATGTAAAAACACTACCAATTGACAGAAGTAGTTCATTTTTGCATCTCAAATTACATTTGAGTCCATAATGATTGTAACTTTACTTTAAATAATCACAAAATACAAAGGATAAGATGAAATTATGGTGTATTTAATAATGTTCCTATCCTTGGTATTCAAATTTGTTGAAAGAACAAAATAAAATTAGTTGTAATAAAACATTGGCTGAACCCTGTTGTCCTTGTACTGGTTCAATATATAAAAGTGAAAGTAAGATCATTATAGTTTAAATGTTAATGGTTTCTTAGAGGTAAATTATGCATATTTTGTTGACGTTTTTTCCTTGAAAATTTAGAAATAGAAATATTTTTTTGTTATTTAATACAGATTATAAATAATACTTAATGAAAGTCAATCAATGTTTAATTTGATACTGGTTCGGAAAACACCTTTGTTCTGAGAAGGTCCAGCAAGAAACTTAGCAGGACTTAAAAGAAAAGAGAGTAAATTAGAATGATTTAATATGTTACACAGTTAACTATACTAATCATATAAGAAATACACGGTAGAGATCACCTACAGGGGTTATTATTTATACATACATATAAATAACATTGAATTATTTGTCTGTAATATCAAAATAACTGTCTTCTATTAAGCTAAAAGCGTTATCTGCATGCTAATAAAACTGAAAAAGAAAAAAAATGAGTTAAAAATTGTTTTTGATTGTTGATCTATTTGCCCAAGGACCACTAATATAATCTGCAGGTTTTTTATGCAACTCCTATGAAGACATAGTTGTGCTTGGAGTAGTAGCAGCTCCTTCCATTTGATTGTACCTAGAGCAGAGACATTTGAATTTTTGGGGACCGAGTTCTTTCCAATTGGCTTGACTCACTGGCACTGCTAAGTGATCTTGCATCTCTGCGTATTTTATCGCATTTACCATGGAGAGTGCTCTGATGAATTGTTCGGACTAATTCCAGCTGCACAATTTCACCATTGCACATTGCGACAAAACTCATGATATCATACATACCACCTGGATGACTGACGGTCAACCACTGTGTGATTTAAAAGAATTTTTCTTCCTTGCACAACTTCCTTGTGGAATCGACTACCACCAGCGATTTTTCCAGATCGATACAACGTAGGAACCATCAACAAAAAAGCCTACTCCTTTTTAAAAGTCCTGCTACGCATCTGCAATTCCCCTGGTGTTGCAGTTGTTCATGGGTGGTGGTAATCACTTACATTCACGGTAGCTGTATGCTCGTTTGCCCCCTCGCCCATAAAAAGGACAATATATGCTTACTTTGCAATCATGTCAAATATAGTAAGGTCAGGAATACCTATGATAGTAAATAAGTTAATGCAAATTCTCCTTACAGCAAGCATACAACAAAAAATCATTGATTTTGAAAAAGTAACAGTGACAAAAATGTGTGTGTTTGTTTAACCTTAACCTTTATTAAAATGTAAACATTCTTGATTAGATAATTTAATATATTTTCAGGCTGATAGAACAGTTTTTATAGGAATATAATAAACATAAATAAGATACACAACACAACAATAAAGAACAAATTATTCTTAATCCAAAATATAATTTGTTTTTTATCTTATTATCAGAAACTTGTCAATATCAAGAAGTTAATAGGTAAGAACAAAATTTTCTGGCCTCAAACAGCAAAATAACATAAATGTTGAGGCTTGATATCTCAAGTGCATTTGGTTCTCTACTTACAGATTAAAGATTTATGCCTAAATATGTAAATGTTACTCAATTCTAAGATGCCATTAAGTCTTGTGCTATCTCTATCACTTTAAGTCCAAGTGATTTTGACACCTCGAGTCTTAATGACATCTTAAAATTGCAGCATAGCATAACATTGGAGTATTCGGCCATAAATGTGGATGGCAAAAAATCCTCTTATAAAAATATTTACTTGTAATAACCATTATTATATGTTTCATAAAGTTATTACTTCCAATATTATGAGTCAAGTGAAAGAAAGAAAAATTCTAAAATTAACCATGAGGACCACTTGCTATCAATGTGTTACTTATTGTAGACATCACACTTTGCCATATAAACCCTTAAATCCATTCATCCATCCATTGCAGCCTAAAGAAGTCCCAGCAGTGGACATAGATAGGTCTCCCCCTAGCTGAAATAAATAGTCGTCTAACCAAGGTTCTAATGAGACTGAACAAGCCACAGATCAGGATAGTAACAAGTGCTATCACAGGACATGGCTCTTTTTACAAACATTTGTTTACCATAGGTGTTATTGATAGCCCCCTGTGCAGACCATGCATGGGAGAGGAAGAAACGGCGGCTCATGTGTTGCTGACATGTCCAAAAGTCGCTTCATATAGGGCTAAACATCTCGGCACGCCGGGATCGCTCCCCGAAGTTGCTTGCAACATCAAAGGACTGTTGAACTTCTTCGGGGAGATATCATGGCTCGAATAACCACATTATTCCTGCCCACACGCAAAATACGCGCTTAGACGTGGAGTTGCGGAAAAAGCCCGTCGTAAACTAAACTAACTAAACTAAACCAGGTCTCCCCCTGAGATTGCCTCATAGGGGATTTCAGTTTTTTTGTAATTTTCAGATCTGTAAAGCATTATGTAATATCACTGTTGTTTATTAAAATCTTGTTTACTCTAGGATATTTATAGCTTTTTGTAATGTCATAAACAAAGAAGCTATTTATGTCCAGGTATATACATATATATTAATTGTTGTTTAGATTATGACTCACATCTAAGTACATTACTTTTTTTGCTGTATATTTATTTTGTCATTTTAGTATACACAAACGGTGTATAAATTATATATTGAACAGGAGAAAGAATTTCCTTAAATATAACTACAAATGTTTATTAAACAAACTTATTTACTGCTAGGCAATTCATTTTCACTCTCATAAAGGTTTTTAAAAATATGTAAATCTTATTTTAATTATCTAACAACTTTTTTTTATATTTACAGCACAAATGGCAGTGGGGACAAAGTTTCATAGTACATTGAAGAACTATTTTACACAGCCCCAAACTCAGTTACGTATCGAAAAAGATGTGGAAGGAGTGTGGGTGTCGGTTGCCGATGTTTTAAAAAGCATTTCTTCGCCTAAGGCCATAGAGTCCAATGTTATACATCCTGTTTTGAAATATAGGGGAATAATTGATGCTATCGCAGATTATGAGTGAGTATTCATCGTCATCATTTTATATTCCTCAGCTCTTAACAGTGGGTTCCTCCCATTGTAAGAATGATTTTTTCTTGTCACCAGTCTCTTGGTTAGCAGATTTTAGGAATAGGCAAGTGAAAAAAAATATTGATATATATCGTATCAATATTTTTAAACAGTTGATATATATCACATGATAGTTATCGATATATCATCATGTTTTGCATGACATAATAGGATAAGGCCTAAAATGTTATAACTGAAGGGTTAGACAACAAAAACAACCAACAGAATAATTATTTTATAGCTGCTTTTGTTGCTTAATATTTTATAGATTAATATAACATTTTAAAGATATATCAAAATTGATACGAATTCGGTATTCCAAAATAAACATCGATATATAGAGATTAAAAATATCGACAATATATATATATATATATTGATACTATTATGAGTAAATGTCGATATTTCGATATTTTTACCCAAACCTAGGGGATTGGCATTGCAATACCAGATGTCTTGCAGCTTCCCATCTCTTACCTGGATATTTTAAATGTAGCATCTTTTGTTGACCGTAAGATTTCCGGTGTTTTCTTTGATTGCCTTTTACAATATCCACTGTATGAAATGGGGTCGTATTTTGTATCGTTGGTCTAGTGTTCGTAAACGCGATTGCTGATCATGAGGTCCTGAGTCGAATATCGAATATCGAAAGTCGAAGTTCGAATCCCAGGTCGAGCCAAAATTAGTTATTAGGTTTTTCGCAGCAGAAATTCTCAGTAGCAGCCCGGGACATGAAGGTGTACTTGTGCTTGTCCATACACTCGGGCACTATAATCCTTTCCTGCGCAAATAGCTACTCACCTCTGTTGAGAGTGGCCACCCAGATCGAAATCGGTCTGGAGTACACTTTTTTTTGACATTTATGTTTACCACTAAGGCCAGTTTTAGAGCTCAACCGGCCGTCGGTGCGTACCATCGGTCCTGACGATACGCGTAACCGATTGTCCGTTTGTAGCTTTCAGTGCTCTCCTGAGCAACTAAACTGGCTGGAATGGTACAGTCACAAACACGTATTGTTTAGTTGCTGCTTACTATGTACGTAAGCGTATAAAGAACAGAAGCCGTAGATATCAATATTATAAATAGCAAAATATAGATTATGTACCTACTACTAACGACATCTCGTACCAAAGTGTGAACAAATGTTGTCTATGTGATTCTTTACTTTTGTCTTTTGAAAATACAGCTCTGTTCATTCTTGTACTCGCTGAGTCACATTGTTTTATTATAGGTTATGGGCCCAGGCCGCTCCTGGCTCATAAAGAGTACTTAGTTCTCGCGACAGTATAATTGTTGATTATCAGGACATTATCAATAATAATAATTTGTGGCAGAATAGGACTAAGTGTGTTGAGTTGTGCAGATTTATTTTGTCGTCAGGCATCAGTAATGGCGTCAAGTTCGAACTATCACATTAGTGTGCCGAAACTGCAAGGGCGCGAAAATTACAGTGAATGGTGTTTCGCAGCAGAAAATTTCCTTGTGTTTGAGGGAATGGTTGGGTGTATCAAACCTGAGCCCAACGTTGCTCCAGCAGCTGCAGACTATGCGAGAACAAAAGCGAAGTTGATTCTAACAATTGACCCAGCTCTTTATGTTCATATAAAGAATGTAGTAACATCGAAAGAATTGTGGGATAAATTGAAGATGTTATTCGATGCTCGGGATTTACAAGAAAAATAAGTCTTTTGAGGAATTTAATATCTATTCGATTAGAAAATTGCACTTCGATGATGTCATATGTAACACAAATTGTTGAAGCTGGTCAGAAATTACAAGGTACGGGATTTGGCATAAATGACGAGTGGATCGTATCTATCATGTTGGCTGGATTATCTGAAATATATGTGCCCATGATAATGGCAATCGAGCATTCCGGCATGATAATCACAACCGACGCCATTAAAGGGAAATTGATGGACATGGAACCGGAAGACAGTGATATCAACAATGCGTTTGCTTGTTTCCGCAAGAGTCAAAAATCAAAGAATGTAAAGAGTACACAGTCTATGGTCAAGAAAGATGGTGGGAATGAACGAATGTCGACATCTGTCAAAGAAAAACAAAACGTCAAATGTTATAATTGTAAACAACATGGCCACTACTGTAATCAATGCACTAATAAAGATAAATTTTACAAGAATTCTGAAAATAAATTGTCAAAAACAGGTAATACATTCAGTGCGTGTGTGTCGACTCTGGCGCAAGTTCGCATTTGACAAGCAGTAAAGATTGGATGGTCGATGAATGTTATTCTGGGTTAACCAAGGAAATCATGGTTGCTAACCAGAATAAAATCCCAGTGTTGTGTTGTGGAAACGTAAACGTAACAATGTCAACTGAAGGATGTGATTTTAACATAACTGTTGAAAAAGAGTTGTGTGTGCCCAAATTATCTAGGAAGGATGCGAGATATTTAATAAACAGGACACTAGTAGCAACTGCATCACTTGTAAATGGAGTTTATAAACTAAATACTTCATCTTGTTTGGTGGCAGCAACATCAGAGTCTCCAGAAGGTTGGCATCATAGATTGGGATATGTCAACAGTTATAACATGAATAAAATGCAGGATGCTGTGGAGGGGGTCAAATTAACTGAGAATGCCGACATCAACAAGTCCAACTGTATAGTGTGCTGTGAAGGAAAGCAAAGTCGGTTGCCCTTCGATAATAAAGGGAACAGGAGTACTAAGCTATTGGAAATAGTACACAGTGATATATGTGGCCCAATGGAGAATGTATCCCTAGGAGGATCAAGGTACTTTCTCATTTTTGTTGATGATCACAGGAGCATGACATATGTATACATATATATTTTAAAGAATATAAAGCAAGAGTTGAGAATTCAACTTCAAATAAAATAAAAATACTGAGAAGTGATAATGGCACAGAGTTCTGTAACAGAGATTTTGATAACTATTTGAAGAAAATGGGTGCAACTCATCAAAGAACAAATCCCTACACTCCTGAGCAAAACGGGGTTTGTGAACGTATGAATAGGACTCTGATCAAGAAAGCTAGATGCCTTTTATTTGATGCAAGACTAGGCAAGGAATTTTGGGCTGAAGCCATTAACACAGCAATCTATTTACAAAATAGAAATGTAAAAAGTGGATTGAACAACCGTACACCGTACGTTAGCCGTGTAGTGGCGGTTGAGAATATCCACTACCCCATATCTTCCCGTGGGTGTCGTAAGAGGCGACAGAGGGACACAGAAAGGAGATGGGCAGCAGCATCTTCCTAATAACAACAATAAAATAATAAAAAACTGCGGTTGCCAACCCGCTTGCCAAGCGTGGCAACTATGGCAAATATGACCATGACACAAATAAACGGCCCCCAGTCCCCGGCGGCCCCGCTGTTCCTGGCTACGGTTTTTGGCGACCATGGTAACGGTGGGGCAGGGGGTGCTAAGAATCTCCGGTGGAGGTTCGGTTGCCACCTACGACGACTCGACCTGGCAACGTATAACGCACGGACCCTGAAGACTGACGAGAAGATATTGGAGCTGGAAGAAGAGGTAGACAAGTTGCGCTGGCATATTATTGGATTATCTGAGGTCCGAAGTAAGGGGGAGGACACGGTAATCCTCGAGTCCGGCAACTTGTTCTATCACCGGGAGGGCGACCATCTGTCCCAAGGAGGTGTCGGATTTATCGTCCACAAGTCTCTCGTCAACAACGTTGTAAGGATTGGGAGTGTGTCGACGAGGGTCGCGTACCTGATACTCAGAATCACCAAACGGTATTCGCTGAAGGTCATACAGGTCTACGCACCAACCTCGGCACATCCCGATGAGGAGGTGGAGGAAATGTATGAGGATATTTCTAGAGCCATGCATTCCTCCAAAACCCACTACACGGTGTTGATGGGAGACTTCAACGCAAAACTAGGCACAAGAGAAGGCGGTGAGCTGAAGTTAGGGAAATTTGGAATAGGGCAACGGAACCGTAGGGGCCAGCAGCTGGCTGACTTTATGGAGAAAGGGGGACTCTTTATGATGAACTCTTTCTTTCAGAAGCGGCCCCACAGGAAGTGGACCTGGTCGAGCCCCGACGGTTCGACAAAAAATGAGATTGACTTCATTATGACGACCAGACGCCAACTGTTCAGTGATATCTCAGTGATCGCAAGGGTGAAAACCGGCAGCGATCAGCGAATGGTTAGAGGCACACTGAACCTAAACGTTAAGTTGGAGAGGTCTTGTCTAATGAAGTCAACACTCCGTCCCCCTCGTGCTCTAATCCAGAATCCCGAGACTTTTCAGCTCGAGTTACGTAACCGCTTTCAGTGCCTAGAAGATTGCAATGCAGTGGACGATATGAATGACAACCTCGTGAAAACTGTCCATGCGGTCATCTAAGTTCTGCAAGACTCGCCGCAGAAGAACACAAAAACTCTCCGATCACACTCTTAATCTCATGGCTGTTAGACGGGAGATGAGGCTGCAATCGTCAACAGATTTGACAGCATACAGGCAACTGAACAGACAGATCTCCAAATGCATGCGGCGAGACTTACGCAACTTTAATACTGCTCGTATTAAAGAAGCGATTGAGTGGAACCAGGGCTCCAAAGTCTGCCAGAGATCTGTCTGCCAGAAAGAGCCAACTGTCAAAGCTGAAGACTGAGTGTGGCAGCATCGTTTCCGGGACACCTGAGATTTTGAGTGAGATTGAGAGGTTCTATGGGCAGCTGTACACATCATCGTTGGAGCCACACGCAAGTGTGAGTAACGATCCAAGAGCAAGTCTTACCCGACACTATTCCGATGATATCCCGGACGTCAGTCTGAGCGAGATTAGAATGGCTCTCCAGCACCTTAAAAACGGCATGGCCCCAGGCGAGGATGGAATTACAGCGGAGCTTCTGAAAACGGGTGGAACACTGGTACTTGAAGTACTTCAGAAGCTCTTCAATTCCGTCCTCCATGGTGGCACTACT